TTAATGGAGGTGCTGTGAGCTGGAAAAGTTTGAAGCAAGACACAGTAGTTGATTCTACAATAGAGGTTGAATACATTGCAACCAGTGAAGCAGAAAAAGAGGTTGTTTGGATCAATAAGTTCATATTGGAATTAAGGGTTGTTCTCAGCATATCAGATGCTATAGAACTCCGTTGTGACAATAATGGAGCCATTACACAAGCAAAGGAACCCATATTTCATCAACGATCCAAACATATTCTTAGGCGCTTTCATCTCATTTGAGAGATCATAGATCGAGGAGATGTGGAAATATGCAGAGTACACACGAATGACAATATTGTTGATTCCTTGACGAAGCCTCTTACACAGCAGAGGCATGATCGTCACACAGAGTCACTCGGTATTAGATATGTGAGTGATTTCTCTTAGTGCTAGTGGGAGATTGTTAGAGTATTCTCAAAGACCAATCATATGATTGTAATAATATATTTATTTACCGATTTTATTGAATAAAGGCATTGCCACTATTATATTCAATTAAATGTCTGTGTTTAACATAAACTAAAATATAATAAAGTCCATATAATAACATTATTAAAAGATCCATATTCAAGTACTATTATGGGCATGGACAATTATAATACGCTTAATACTAGTAAGTTATTGATTGATGACAAGGAGTTTTCATTGACATAGAGATGTCAGAATTGATACATGATTATATTTTTAGAGAACAATGTATTGGATTGACCCATCATGAGCATGTCTTGGATTATTATGTAACGGTCATAACATTGCTCATGGTGATGGCTATATGTATGATCCTCAGACTTGATATCAATGTCATCGCAACATATATTGTTGTATGTTTTGATTCAGTTACACATGCTCCGTAACTGGTTGCACTATAAAGACTGTTATTGAATATATTTCGATATATGTAGTGGGGTGTATATGGTTAAGATAGGATTTGTCCTTCCTACATAATAGGAAATATATCACAGGACACTTGATTAAGTGAGACTAGAAATTGATAGGGAAGCGGTGGTGGGTTAATGAACGTTGTTCTTGTTGAAGAGTCAAACCTAGAAAGCTCTAGACTCGATGAAGAACAATGGGGAATGAATAGGGGAAGGTGGAGGCAACAAGTAGGGTTCTTAGGGTTTCTTTTAGGTGCTGGAAACAAGGTAAGAAACAAGATTAAAACAAGATAAAGAAAATATAAAGGAATTGCAAATAACGTAAGATAACCAAGAAATCAAAAGATCTCCCTTATGAAGGAGAATGGTAGAGATGATTGATGGTGTGGATGGATATGTGGAAAATCGATGGTTAATGACCTATGGTGCCCTCCTAGTCGCAATGAAAAGGAAAACACGATAATATGGCTCTAACCAACCCTCCTAGTCGCGATGAAAAGGCAAATTGGAGTGTGAAGATTAATCTCCCTCACAAGAACTTGAAAGAACTCCAGGAGAAGAAGCTTCGAAGGCACAAGGCAATCAGCACTTGCAAAAAGGAACTTTCTTTGTATTATTAATCAAAGAAATCTTGTTTAAAAAGTTGAATAAAGCCTCCTTTATATAGGGGTTGAGTTCTAAAGGTCCTAAATAACTAAAGAATTAAAATAATAATAAACTAAAAATGTCTTAACTATAATTCCTAATAAAATAATAACAACTAAAAATATTGTTTTAACCCAACCTTAATTCTTAATAAAATAACAAATATGATCCTAAAAGATAATTCATCATCCTATATTAAATTATATCACAAATAATCAATATAAATATTGAAAATTCGTAATATTTACAAAATCCCGTATTAATCCCGTATAGGATTTCCTGCAAGCACTGTCTTCAGTAAAATGGCCATATCTTGAGTTTCCGACATCGGATTGATATGATTCAAGAACCATTGAAAATATAAGAGACAGAAGGTTGTATCTCCAGAAGACATGTTAACCAAATAAGATCAGAATCCCATTCAAAAAGTCGTTGGAAGTCTTCTTCTGTTCTGGTCTTCTTTTCCAAGGCTTGGACGAGTGGATCATTTGGAAGAGTTATTACTTGTTCCTTTGATGTCAGCCTTGTAATGCATGTACCATCCTCCCTTTCTTCAAAAAGGTTCGACCTCGAATCTGAAACATTAAAGGGAACAACATTAGAATAGTTTAATAATTCATTCACATTATGCTTACCGAATAGATATGCTTTGAATCTTCGAGACTTTATTCTTCTAATAGGTTCTAGTATAAACATTAGTCCAAAGAACCAGGTATTATGGACCCTGGTGCATTTATCATTCAAGGCGCATGTATCATTCAAGGCGCATCATCAGTGGTGACTCAACAATCGGTAACATCAGTGCAGAGTAGCCGAGGACCAGCTAGAGGAGGTGGCAATGCATCTGGGTAGTAGAGTCATGGGACAACTAGATCAAAGGTAGGGGCCGAGCTGAGAGTGGCCTCCTGATAGTATACAGTTTGAGCTAGGGAGGATTACGAGATGTCATAGCAGGTACCTTTATGGTATTTTCTTTACCAGTTACCACATTGATAGACCTCATTCCACTCATTCTTACATCTACTCTGACTTAGTTCAAGAAATAGAATTCTTGACATAGAACCCAGAGATAGGTGTTCGGGTCTTCAGCCTAGGTTTAGACATCCTGATGGACAAAATTTTCAGACGATGCCTAATGAGAATTTAGGACCAGACATTTTCAGCGGACTTGATGGAGTTACCCTTTTGGGAGTTTGACCTAATATTAGGGATGGAACCAAGTTGGCGATGACCAGTGAGAGATCCCATCAAATGAGGATTGTATCAGTTGTACAAGCCCTAAGGATGATTGACTGTGGGTATGAGGCCTTCTTGGCTCACGTAATTGACACCTGAATCTCAGTATCCACACTCGAAGATATCTGAGTAGTGCAAGACTTTCCTGATGTGTTTCTAGAGGAGTTGTTGGGTTTGTCACCCGAGCGTGAATTGGAGTTCGAAATTGAAGTAATTTTAGGTTTAACCTCGTTGTTCATTACTCCCTGTCGCATGGCACCGATTGAACTAAAGAAGTTAAAAGCTTAGATTCAGGAGTTACTAGAGAAAGGTTTTATCCGATCGAGCATATCTCCTTGGGGAGCATCGATCCTATTTATTAAAAAGAAAGATGATTCAATAAGGGTTTTTATCGACTATAGATAGTTAAATAAGTTAACCATCAAGAACTATTACCCACTCCCTAGGATAGACAACCTCTTTGACTAGCTAAGAGGGGCATGTACCTTCTCAAAGATTGATATGCGATCAGGCTACCATTAGTTGAAAGTCAAGGATGAGGATATTGTGAAGATGACTTTTAGAATGATGTATGATCATTATGAGTTCTTAGTGATGCTATTTAGACTCACCAATGCTCTGGTAACATTCATGGACCTAATGAATTTCATCTTTCAACCATTCTGCACCAGTTTGTGGTGGTGTTTATAGACAACATCTTGGTCTACTCACGATTAGAGGATGAGCATAGCTAGTATCTTCGTATCGTACTTTAAACCCTCAGAGAGAGACAGTTGTATGCCAAGTTTAGGAAGTACAAATTTTTGTTATCAAAGGTAGCATTCTTGGGGCATGTCATTTTAGTTGATGGCATCAGAGTCTACCCTCAAAAAACTCAGGTTATAGTTGAATGGGAGTTCCCTAAGAATGTGTCTGAGGTGTACATTTTTCTTGGGTTAGTCAGGTACTATCGTTAGTTTATTCAAGGTTTCTAGATGATAGCAGCCCCGTTAACCAAATTGCTTCAGAAGGGAGTTCTCTTCGTTTGGGATGAAAAGTGATAGGAGAGTTTGGAGTAGTTAAAGGTTATCTTCACCCAAGCCTCAGTGTTGACCCAACCAGAGTCGGGTAAGGACTTAACAGTTTTCAGTGATGCTTTTTTGAATGGACTTGGATACGTCTTGATGTAAGAGGGTAAAGTTATAGCTTACGCATCCTGTCAACCTAAGCCTCATGAGCATAATTACCCTACCCATGACCTTGAACTAGCAACAGTAGTGTTTGATTTGAATATTTGGTGACACATCTTTTTTATGAGAAGTTTTATATCTTCACCATTCACAAGACCCTCAAGTATTTTCTCACTCATAAGGAGTTGAACCTCAGACAACGTAGATGGATTGAGTTAAATAAGGAATATGACTGTGTGATAGATTATATTCCAAGAAAGGTGAATGTGGTGTCATACGCCTTGAGCATAAAATTAATTACTGAGTTGCGAGCTCTCATAGCATGTTTGAGGTTATCTAGGGATGATAGTTTGCTAGCTGAGTTTCGAGTCGAGTAAGAGTTTGTAGGTTAAGTCAAGAGGCTACAGAGTTCAGATGACCAGTTGAGAAGTCAGATCGAGCAGGTTCGCCAGGACGAGGCCTCAAGTTTTGAGCTTCGAGATAGAGATATATTATACTTCAAGGGTCGGTTGTGCGTACCCACAGACGCTCAGTTGTGCAATAAGATTCTCCACGAAGCACACTATAGTCCACTCTCCGTACAACCAAGCAATAATAAGATGTACCAGGAGCTTCGTAGATTGTTCTGTTGGCCTGGCATGAAAAGTGAAGTATTGGAGTTTGTCACTAGATGTCTAGTGTATCAGCAGGCTAAGGCGGAATACTAGGTTCACTCAGCTTTGCTTCTGCCCATTCAGATTCCTCATTGGAAATGGGACAAGGTACCCATGGACTTTGTGACCGGGTTACCAATGACTAGACAAAGACATGACGTAATTTGGGTAATAGAGATCGCCTAACCAAATCAATTTACTTCTTCACAATTAGGATGGAGTATACCTAAGAGAGGTTAGCTCAGTTGTATATCTGTGAGATAGTGAGGTTGTACAGTGTACTGACTTTCATCATTTTAGACAGTGATCCCCATTTCACTTCTCACTTCTGGAAAGCTCCTCATGAGTTTCTAGGCACCCGACTACACTTTAGCACAACTTTTCATACACAGACAAATGGCCAGTCAAAACGAGTTATCCAGATTTTTGGAGGACATACTCATGTATACTATTATCGATATAGAGGATAGTTGGAAGGACCACTTGCCATTAGTGTATTTTTCCTACAATAGTAGTTTCCAATTGAGCATTCAGATAGCTCCGTACGAGGCCTTGTATGGGCGAAAGTGTAGGACTCCGCTTTGTTGTACAAAGCTCAGTGAGGATAAAATAGTAGGCCCAACCTTGATTCGAGAGACAGAAGAGAAGGTTTGGTTGATTCAGAGTCGGATTAAGGAGGCTTCAAACAAATATAGGTCTTATACATATTTAAAGCATAAGGACATAGAGTTCGCAGTTGGGGCCAAGATATTCCACGAGGTTTCCCCTTCGAAGAAAGTGCTCTGCTTCAGCGCAAGGGCAAGTTGGATCCTCGTTTCATATGACCTTATGAGGTACTTGAGAGAATTGGACCAATGGCTTACATACTAGCTTTACCACTAGAGTTGGAGCGCATTAACAATGTGTACCAATTATCTATACTCAGAAGATACCACTCTGATCCTTCGCATGTAATACCTTTAGAACAGATTGAGGCTGGCTCAAACATAACCTATTCAGAGGAACTAATCAGAATCTTGGGGAGCAAAATAAAGGAGTTAAGGAACAAGTTGATTCATTTGGTGAAAGTCTATGGAGGAACCATGGCGTCGATAAAGCCACATGAGAAACCGAGGAGGATATGTAGCATCAGTACCCTCACCTCTTTTTCACAGGTAAATTTTGAGGACAAAATTTCTTTCTAGGGGGAAAGATGTAATGCCTTGGATCCCAAGTTAGGAGTTTTGGACTAACCCGAGATATGCCTTGGATTAAATCTCTAGCTTGTAGGAAGCATTGAGCCAAGAACAAGTGGAATTGGGATTGGATGGAACCCAATTGTGGATAAAAAGGGTATTTTTAACTTACAACTAAAATCAGAAGGATCAATGAAGCAAATATACCATTATTCAAAGTAAAGGCTGAAAACCAATTAAGACTGGTGATCTTACGTTTGATTTTCAGCTTCTCTTTTTCTTCACTTCACTTGTCTTCTTCTCCCAAGTTATCTTTCTCTTCTTCATCATTCTCTTGAGCAAAGGTGGAAGCTTTGGTTTAGCTTCAGTTTATTTCTTTAAACCAAGGTAAAGAGTGAATTCAGTATCTTTGGAGCTTTCTTTTGAACCTTCAACTTCACCATTTCACCATGAGAGCCAAGAATAAGTTTTGTGGGGCTTAATAGTTTTCATGATTTCATCCCGTTTTCAATAATCTATAGCTTTAGGAAGTGTTCATATTACCTTCTTAACAATTTTTCTCAGCTAGTAATCTATCCTTTGATGTTTATCTAGTGAGAGAGATTGGAGAAAGCTCCAAAGTTAAACGGAATGAGAAACTCACCCTTGGTTGAGCATTTGGTGTTTTCAACAGTTTAGAATCAATGGTAACTCACACTTGACTCAATTATGTCATATATAAGTTTTTTAGATGAAATGTAGTAGGTTGCATAAGCTTGAAGCATCATAATGGTAGATTTTGTGTTTTAGAGTTATAAACATGTTTAAAGCCCTATTTATACTCCTTTGTATCTTCATAAAACATTAATAATGTTTGGGGGCCTCACTAAGGTCTTTGGGATAGTAGAATAGGATTTTTTGCATCTATTTTATGCTCTTTGCAGGTTGAGTGTCGATACAAGAGGGATAGTATCGAAACTTGTTCTTCTTCACAAGCAAACTCATGATTTTCTAAGCAAAATTGTTGATACTCTTTTAAGAGTTTCAATACTTTGGGTCATAGTTTCGAAACTCCCCGAAATAATCAAAACTAGGCGGTTCAGAATGTTTAAAAGTATCGATACTTGTAGAAAGTGTCGAAACTGTTGCAGGAGTATTGATACTCTTGCGCTAGTGTCGATATTTTTAGTATGTTTTGGACAAAAAGGTTGATTTTTTAGAGAATTAGACTCGAGGTTCCCCAACACTTCAGTATATCCTCAAATAAGACTTCAAGTGAGAACAATAATTAATATCAAAACAATAGAAACATAAATAGACAGGTTTACATAAAACTAGTCTTGTTTAACGCTCGAGAAATAATGAAGAAGCCCAAGTTTCTTTTAGCAGAAATACGAAAATCAGTGGATCCAAGTTAGTACCACTACAGCAGCCGACTGGGTGCAAGATTCCCCAAGGCTCGACGAAGTAAGTCGGTGGGTGTAAGTTTTGATGCAGAATTCCAGATTTCACCCATGAGTACCCGATGGTTCTTCGACAATGCTAGAGAGGTGCGTGAGAACCGAGATGCAGACTCCCTCAACCGCACCATGATACCAACCACATATTAGACTACCAGTAGTTGTATACTCAGACTTGTGCCACTTGCCATTTCATTTAGTGAATGCATATAGTATAATACAATTTTTAGTGAGGCAATGAGCTTGTAAGCTTAGCGTTCGAAATGAGTTTTCGTGCGCAGGTTCTTAGCGAGTTGGTCGTGGGGAGTTATCATCATCGGATATTCAGTGATATTCGGATTTACAGAGATCTTTCAGAGTATATCTTGAGTCAACTTTAAAGGGCATGTACTGTTATGGACCTTGTTATCTATTCGGTCGTAACTCTTTCGAAATTCAGTATTTTGTATTATATATTTTGGGAGCTCCCCATTATTTGTAAACCCAATTTATTATTATGTTTTATATTACTTTATGAATGTTTAAATTTCGGAGATTTACAAGCAGTTTTAAAAGAAAATTTTGGGTCACTATTTTGGTAATCTCGTATAACATTGTAATCCATGGATCGTCGGATCTAACTGGATTAGGGCATTACAAACCTATTTGATGTTTTAGCGATATTTTAAGAAACTAAATATTGATCTTTTTGTTAATATCATCACATCATCAATTTCACGAAAATGACAGGAGAGTGATCATTTTGTTGCAAATTGATAATGTTAGTAACAAATTTATTACTTTTAAAATTTCAGTGGAGAAAACAAAAATTTATTCAAACATTAATAACTATTTGTGTAGTTTAAGCATCAAATTATGTTGATTAATCTATTTAGCTTGCTCGACAAATTTGAAAATTCCACCAAACCCAAACTCAGGATTCAATAAACAGACATCAGTCCTTGAAGCAGAACTCGGGGTTGTATTTGAAGGCTTGAAGTTGGACATAGGTTCGAAAGAGTGGTGGTTCAGATGGATAATAGGGATGTTTTACAATCGGGCCTCTCCATCAAGTGCTCATAACCTGGTTAGATCAATTGCTGATCGCTGTAATAAGGAATGGAGAGTTGATTTCCAACTCATCCGAGGGGAAGCAAATTTCAGCTGCGGACCTACTGGCAAAGCGTCCTGCTGAGCCAGATATTTCTTATGCTACTTTTGAAATTTGATTCCTATCTTATTTATATTAATGGACCTCCCCATGTGCGTATAAGGCGTTGATGCTCTGCTACGGCCCCCTTCTCCCATTCAAAAAAATTGAACTTTATGTTTTTAATTCAAAATTCAGTTACACTGTGTGTGTGTAATAAAGACCGTAAATTGGATTAATTAATGATAAAAAAGCTCCAAAATCCAAAAACAAAAAACAAATGGAAGGAAAATTTACAATTTGTAGATAATGAGAAAGCACGGTAATACTGCACGAGGATCAGACACGAGCAACTCGCCGTTGTTCCCATTCACCGAGTCATAACCGATCCGTCCCGCTATAACCCGGCAAACCAACATCGCTTTCCTCCCCCTCCCACCTCCGGCACTCTCGTGGGCGTCGCTGCTCCCGATATACGTGCATACGGCCGCTCCTTTCCCGCCGGGAAATAGACAGGTGTCGTGTTAGCCGAAGTGGGACCCAGACAGTGGAACCTCATTACCTCATTCCCATCCACCAAGCACCTCGCGTTTTCCTCGTCGGCGGAAATCAGACCAGCCGAACCGGAACGAGCCATGACCATCTCCCGGTACTCACCGAACCGCGTCACCGTTTTCGGCCCGTTTTGGACTTTGAAAATCATCTCGATCCGACCCATGAAAGCCTTGGGGCTCCAACTGGTATGAAAGATAATCTCCACGACATTCCTCGAAGGGTGGCCGTCGGGCAACTCGGACAACGCCGGAAGTACGGGGTCAGGGTTCCGAACAGAATTACTCCGGCAAGGGCGAGGATGAGCCGAATCGGGTTCGGGTTTGGGATTCTTGGTGGCTTTGATGACGTCTTTAATGCTCTGAGAGCTTCGTCTGCAACTGGGAGTGGGTATCAAATGCCTGGGGTTTGGGTTATAAACATCTTCGAATGCTCTGGATTTGCAATGCAAAGATTTGACCCACCCGCTTGCCATGACCGGATTCTCAGAATCTAAGAAAAGGCTCTTGGATACTTCTGCTTCTAAACCATTGTGTTGAGTTTGATTTTGTTGGGAGCGTTCTTTCGTTCGTCTGTTTGGTTTGGGTAGTAGAAAAGAATGCAAGAGAAGGGACATGAATGCACATTAAATGATGAGTTGTGTCGTCCAGGATGTAATTTGGAATTTCAACCGAAGGGAAAAACAAAAGGCTCCAACCTGGAATGACAAAAATGGCCTCAACGCAGTACGAAAGCCTAGGAATGGTAACTGGACGAGTTCATAGTGGGTTTTGCACCCCATCCCCGAAATATATCACCATCCTCGCCCCCGTCTCGTTCCCCATCAAGTTTTTTAACGGGATGTCTCGTCAAGGAGTTTTTTACCCCATACTCGCATTCGACCCGAAAAAATCCTCAAACTCGAACCCAAATTCGAAAAATATTATATATATTATATATATAATTAATATAAAAAAATATAAAATATTATATATATATAATCGAGGCGGGGCGGGGATACCTTGCCCCGAACCTGAAATCAAAAAAATTCCCGAATTTTATCCTGATACCCGACCCGATCCGATCCGACCCGAACTTAACCGAATTTCAATTTTCCCATTGGATTCGGGTCGTTTTGCCATTCTTACGAAAGCCTCCTTTCAAAAATAAATAAACTCCTAAATTATTTAGTCCTTGAATTCATAAAAAAAAAATTAATTTAATTCATCTAAAATATTATTAACAATTGTGGGTCTGCACATCAATACAATAAATTACCACTTCAGTATTATAAACTGTCACGTTATCACAATAACACTCAACAAAGAAAATCAATGAACAAATGATCATATTAATTTTTTTTAAATTTAAAGATCATATTAAACAATTTGAGAATTACACTGATATTTTTTAAAATTAGGACTTCATGTACATTTAATTCTTAATATTACTGAGCGTTAAAAAGGTTTTTTTTGGTTTTTTCAAATAAAAATGATTTTCTTTAATCAAAAGTAAGTTTGTTGATAGCAAGTCAAAAAGACTGGTGTACCCTTGACAAAACAGTCTAATTAGTTACATTGATTTAATTTATGTAATTTTAAAGGGTAAGGTACCCAAATGGTCCCCAATATATGATATTATTTTGTTAAGTCATTTGATTATTAAAAGTTACAGAATAATCCCTTGTTTATAGGATGCTTTGTTGAGTCATTCGACAAATAAAAGTTACAAAATGGTCACCATACTATTCATTATATTCAAACTCGTCTTTTTTCGTAAAAATTAACGACAATCTAATCTGAATGTTAATTTGTTGTCTAAGATACGATAGTCTTTTGAGATTTTAGGATAAGATTTTATCATATCTCATACAACATATTAACATCCAACTCAGATTGTTTTGAAATTTTTAACGGAAAATGAAGAATTCAAAATATAATGAATAGTCGGTGATCATTTTGAAATTTTTAATAGTCGGGGAACTCAACAAAGCAACATCTTATAGTTAGGGGACCATTTTGTAACTTCTGATAATCGGGAACTCAACAAAGCAACACCCTATAATCGAGCACTCAACAAAGCAACACCCTATAATCGGATCACTATTTGTATACTTTACAATATTTTTAACGTTTAACACGTTATAAATATAATAATAATTAATAACAACAATTTATTGTCAATAAATATGTAATGTACTGATCAATAACATTTCTTTTAATCCTGATCAACCTTAAGCAATCTCTCCTCTTCTCCTCATAAAAATATTATGGTAATAATGTATTTGATTATACGATTTTTACTTTTTAAAACGAAGTAGATTTGGAGTTCACATAATTGGGTTTAGTAAATTTAAATCGGATCAATTTAATATTTATTCTTTTAAAATTTATTTTGAGTTTGAATTATTTTATATTTGGATATTTTGAATTGTTTTCTGTTCATGTCATTTAGGTTTGCGAATTGTGTTTTTCTAATTATATCAAATTTAAGTCAGTTTGATTTCTCATTTAGGTTTGATATTCGAGTTTAGATCAATATGAGTTTGAATCATTTTTTTATATTAGATTATATTAAATTGAATTTAGAATTATGTTAATATTTTTAGTTTTTGGATTAGGTTTTAATTTTTTTTGAATAGTCTTAAGATGATTATAAGCTAGTATATGTTTATAATATTTTTTTAATTGTTGGTAACGTATGCACTCCGAGAGACACAACTGTTTGAATCCAGAAACTTATCCCATCAATAGTAGTAATTTACATGGTTAATTTAGGTGGTTAGAAACTTAAAAAGAGTCATTTCCTAATTGAAGGCACAACTTATTACATGCTATACAATTCCAACTTTGGAACAGCTTTCTGCATCAACCTGCTTCTTCAAATC